TCACGTTCTTCAGCCAATAAGGGCAAAGTTGTGTTGTCACGGAGGCAGTTCCACTTTGTTCAGCCGGCTGAGAGGTGCTGTACCATCTGTCTTAAGTCGTCTTGCTCTTGCAAGGTTTTTGTACCGTGTGACATGGTGACGTGTGACGACGTTTTGCAGCGCCGGACCAAAATAATCTAACCATATCATGAAAAACGAGGTTTAAAATTTTTGACATGAAGTGCAAGGAGACTATCAATTAATGGGCATGATTTAGTGTTGTTTTGTGCTATAGTATAGGCTGAAACCTGCGGCTATCGTTAAAAACAAATGCGGTAATCGTAAGACAAACTTTTATTTGTGTACGCCAATGAATTTTAACAGGAATGTTAAATCTGCATTTGCATGATTTCAAACTTATGCTGGACTTTTATTTTTAATTGATTGCTCTTTTTTTCCCCATAGTGGTGAAATCGCACCATTTGTATTTTGTAATTGCATTTGTTTCGCTCAATTGGAAAAGGGAGTTGTATTTCAAATAAAGTTTGAATCTGAACCTGTGTAGTTTGAATGGGGGGGCTCAATAATGTTCCTATCTAGAAAAGGGGGGCCCTGCAGAGAAAGTTTGGGGACCACTGCACTAACCTATCCCAGATTGAGGTTTTGAGGTTCCCTCATCCACATGGCCAGTGTAGTCTTTTCTGGAACTCCAGAGCCTGCTTCCACTCATTGTTATTTCATGTTTTGAGCCATCGAGTCTTCCTGAACCTTTTGAAGCTGCTCGCATCATTGTCGCATTTGATCTCATTTGTGTTTTACATTATTCACAGAGCTGTTAAGCAGACATTGTACTCCTTATCATCACTTTACATCTTGTTGTTTAGTTCCTGTCATCGGCTGTAGGAATGACTGATGGGCCCTGACTTATTAATCTATATGCTACGTGTCGTGTTTTGTGGGGGAGACGTGAGACATAATCCAAGTGTGAGTGAGCCTGATGCATGGTGGGATTATAGCTACGTATGATGTACGTCTCTGTCTCCATCCACCACAGATAAGGGTCCCACCCCCAGTTCTGCTGTTAGCCCCCTGACTGAAGCAGCAGATTCTCGAATGTCCATGTCAAACAGTGAGTAGCGGCTCGGCCTAATGCTCCGTTGGTATCCTGTAGCCTGTAGCCTTCTTATCATTAACCTGCCCAACAGGCCCATGAGTTGAGCTGATTTTAGCTTATTTCCTTTGGCTATAGCTATATCCAAGGCTCAGAGTTGGTACAGGAATTTCATTAAAGTTTTCAGCTGTTATTTGAAAGTGTACATTGCTCCATTTTACGAAATGAAAATCTAATAGATGATAAAAGTTCATGTCATCAGTGCTTGCTGTAAAGCTGAAAACGAAAGGCTATGAGATACGTGAGGGTTTGTTGTTTTCCTTGAAACAGCATGGAGGAGGCAAGGGGAGCCCACGCTTCTGGGAGAGGATGAGGGGAGGAGGAGGTGGGGCCACGACTCCCCTCCGGTGCAGGAGAAGCAGGAAGGGGAGAAAAGGGTGAGGAGCCAGGAGGCCCTGGAGGAGCGCAGCAGGAAGAATCAGCTTCTGGCCAAAATGAAAGAGATCGACCTACAGGGCCGTGACGCAAACACAGACATGATTGTCTCTGGTGTCTCTGAGCACCAGCCAGGCTGGACACCACCGCAGTCCATTTTCAGCCTCACAGACCCGGGGGAGAACCTGCAGGACGGGGGCCGAGAGCCACTGAGGAAGTCTGAGCCCTTGGGGAAGAGGGGCCTTCGGACTCTGGGCTCCAATGAGGACCTGTCGTTTGGCAACTACACCCCCTCGTTTGGTCGGCCGGCGCCAAGGGCTGGCCTGGTGAACCTGGCGGGCCCGAGGAGCGACGGGCTGGAGGAGAGGAGCCAGGACAACCCAGGTGTGGCAGGGGCACCGGCAAAGGAGCGCAAGTCCAACCTGATGGAGCAGCTCTTTGGCACCGGTGCCAGCCCCAACATGCCCGGCAGGCTGGAAGTGCTGAGCTTCTCCAGAGCCCCTCTGGGAGAGGGGAGCGCTGGAAAATCCACAGAGACTAACGGGAAGCGGGGCGACTTCTTCCCATTCAGCGGGGATCCGTCAACTGGCTACGGCAGGGGCACTATACAGGTGGCTGAGAGTCGCCCTGCTGTGAGGGCCATCGCCTCCTTCGATGACGAGATCGAGGAGGTGACACTCTAAGCTTCAGGCAAGTGGGGGACCATCCACCATTTCCACCGAAAGGCAAAGGATAATGTTCAGTGAAGTCAGTAGATGCATTAATGTTTTATACTGTGTATGTACTTAGAAAAAGTGATTGTGCGTGAAATCATTTCCCTGTTTCACTGCATCAATCAGTTGTAAACACTAAACAAGGACTGCGTCTCTGTATTTGTTAACAGAGGGACATTTTAAATGGCTACACCAGAGCTTTCCCCATTCTGAACACAACTGTGGGCAAGATTTCACAATTACTCAGGTAGAATCATGTTTGGGTTCGAAATTGGAATTAACCCAAAATGTGTGGCATATGGAGCCAACCATAAGCACTAACCAGAAGCCTATTTAATTAGAGCACCATGTGTGTAATTCAGGGAGTTTGAAACATAAAGGACAAAGAGGACTAAATTAAATGTTATTTGTACATCTTTACTTTTGTACAAATTCAGTAGCGTACTTTGATTACAAGCTGTTTTGCTAATTAAGACATTTAGTATTTTTGTGCAGGTGGCTGTGTTTGAAAGCTCTTGAATATGTATGTTCAACACAAAACATATGAACCTTCTAGAGAAATTAGAAATGCATCTTTACACAGTAAAGACATGGTGCAGTGAGTTAATGTTCATGTTTCAGAGAAGGGACACATCATTTGTTTTTCCTGAACACTGTGGAATTTTGTACAAGATTTAGTAATCTGTCATCACAATCTGACTTTTTCCACTAAAAGAATGGAATTTGTTTTATTTGTAAATGTTTTTACTAGTGAAATAATTGTGCTTTATTAAATATCAAACTGCCTTTTCCCTATGAATTGTGTTTTCATTTAAAAAACAAATGGGTCTTAAAGCCTGAATATGTAAAACATGCTTTGCACTGCAAGAAATGGAATACCACTGGAATGCCCTTACCGCAACCATTTTCACCACCAATCACGGTGTGGAAACGACGGTGGCCAGAGCTTTTCAGGTTCCACATAGTGCGCAGTAAGTAGCCTATTGACATGTTAGAGACTCACGTGGTACTTTGTACATATATGGTTTATTTATTTATTTTGGCAGATAGAAGGGCAGCCTGCACTTATGTTACATATCTGCTATTAATGGTTGTGTTGCACTTCAGTCTGTTTTTCCCCCAGAGTTGTTAGAGTGTCACGTAGATCGGCAGTCACCTGGTGCAGGTATGATGCGCAGGTATGATGTGCAGGTATGATGCGCAGGTATGATGCGCAGGTATGATGCGCAGGTATGATGCGCAGGTATGATGCGCAGGTATGATGCGCAGGTATGATGCGCAGGTATGATGCGCAGGTACGCTGTCCACTCCGAAGTCAGTGGGCCGGGAGAGAAGTGTTCTGACAACAGCCCTCTTCGCCCTACTTCCTGTCTTTCTGTTTTCATTTCGTGGGCATTTTCATATTTATAAATGATGCCTGTGTGCAAATTTAATGTTTCTAAACGGCTGCCTATTTTTAATTACCGGCACATTTTAGATATGATGACAGTGTGGTACATTGTAGATACTTGTATTTCCTTTTATATTTGTGTTTATATATAAATGTTTCTGGTGATTCTAATAAACAGTTTTTGACGGCGTGTGGTTCCAGCCAATTTCTAGAGAGCACAGCGGTGTTGGTGCTGTGACCCGAGGCTCTGTGCCGTGTGCTTTCAGTACCTCCCTACTGTGCCCTCCTCTGTCCGTACTGCAGCAATCACTGCGCTTGTGCTCATCAGGATATCACAGTACTGCTCTGCATGCGGAGGGGGGAAGTGACCGAATGGCGCCCTCTCTGTCTTCTGTCTTTTTTTTGACCTACTTCTGAGTGTCTTTCACTGTAAGCATACCCTCCATCCCCACCCTCACCCAACTCTATGTGGGTCATGGCAGAACAGCTAGTATGAAACAAGACTGGGGATTGGAGTGGTTAGTCACAGGAGTAGGTGACTCGCGCCAGGTGTCACCACCGGAGAAATGGTGGCTACTAAACTAACTTTTCTAAATATTTTGCCTAAATAGTGTGGTGCAATGGCCTGTGGTTATATGTTAAGTTTTACAACCAGTTTGAACAACACAACCAGTGTAACTTGTGTTGTACTTCTGAGACTGAAAGCAGAATTCAAATACTCATATACTGTTGAATGTAAACATTTACATTTAGCAGATGCTTTTACCAAAAGTGACGTACAATTGTAAAGGCAGGGTTAGACAGTCCCTGGAGCAATTGAGGGTGAAGGACCTCACTCAGGGGACCAACGGTGACATCACTCTGCTGACCCTGGGATTTGAAAAAGCAACCCTCCAATCCCACTAAGCCACACCACCCCCCTAAACCCTACTCAAACCAACTGATCTCTGACAGAGGTAGACTTAGAGCCATGGTAACAAGTTAATTAGTCTATCCTGAAGTCTTTCCCATTTGGTTGCACACTGATGTGAGTTTGTTCACTTGCACATGCAACTTTCGGGCTGTGCCGGCAACCAGGAAAATCTGCCTCAGTCTGTCACTGCCTCTTGAATAACATTTGCACTAAGGCCTCCCGAACATAAATCATAAGTGTTCATTTCCCTTTTGTCTGGTGTTACAGGTGGCTGATTTTATTAAATGAGGTATATGCAATAAAACACTTTCCCTGGACAGTATCAACCTACATGGGTAGGCCGTTCAATGACGTTTTAAACTGTTTTTACACTACATTTCAATTTTGTTCTTGTGACAGCAGAATTTTTGTTATGTTTGTTCCAGTAGCTTTTGTATTCTTTGTAGATTATGTAATGATGGACAGTTACAGGATGCCACTGTGTTCTCTGCTACAGAAGAGCTGATGAAAAGATGAGGGCAAAGTATGCTGAATGGGTCTCCAACAGTGGTGACTCTAGAAGCTTGTGGTTTTGTGGGAAGAAGACAAATTGTTATATTTTGTTTTTGCTGACCCGGTGAACTGATTTAAGCATCAGAAAACTGTAGATAGGTAAGGTTATGAGTTTGCTGTGGGTCCCTGGGCCATTGATGTACTGGGGTCCAGATTTATTGTTAGGCTGCTACAATGTTCAGGTACCATGTGACCACTATTGTGGAACACAGTAGATTTCTGGATGCTACAGTTTTCCATATTTATGAACCAAAATAATCTGGAATAAAACAATAACATTAGCACAACACATGTAGTGCCAAGTCTCATTTCAAATGATCAACGCAGGAAATTAAAAAGTAAGAAAATATGTTAGAATTTTGCAGTTATAAATGACTGCCTCATTCAACACTGAGCTGGGAGGATTTGTAGGTCTAGTGGTTTTAAAAAAAAACATCAGCAAAAGGCTGCATCGTATAATCCCAGGGTGGAGGTAGATTTTGGATCTTTAACAGGTTTGAATAATGTGCTTTACAGAGAAGATAATTAAATTACAGTCGCCGTTTTTTATTTCATTATTTTATTTTATTTTTACAGTAAATGCCTATCTGAGAAGGATATTTCCACTTCACACCTGAAACATTTTCTGCTGGAGTGGAGCACCAGGATTAAGTCTGTGGTCATTTAAAATGAAATGAGGCTACAAATAATAAATCACGACTAAATTACACATTTTTGGTTTATCCACCTTAACAGAAACAATATTCTGTACGTAACTCATTACATGTATTTTGTTTATTGTCACACCACCGACTTTGTACTTAAGACACAATAATCGCATTAAAATGAAAAGTAGCAATGTAAAAATTAAGGCGCGCACACAATTAAATGCATGTAGCTCATTCTACAACTTCAAGAAAATCATCGACATTTCAGGTGAATTTTACATTTCCGTTTACCGGTTTTGCAGGGACAGCTACGAATCGGCGACGTTGGCACTCAGTACTACCTGACTGCCTACGTTACCCACGATTCCGTGTGACTGCTGTCATAGTGGAATCGCCAGGCGTTATTTCAATCCATCCATCTCACATAAATGTAAAGCCAATAGAAAGCCTCGCAGTTTGCGGACAAAAAGCGCGCAACCAATGAAAAAATACTTTTGAAGTCTGTTTCTAAAATGTTAACCAATGCTCGTCCTCCTTTAATTTACATACTGTAAGATACACCAATCGGTATATAGAGAAGAAAGCCATATATCACCGAATTGTCCAATGATCGGCGGGGAGGCAGAGTTTGAGGTCTGCATATTATTAACATGTTATTATTGGAGGTGTTTAGATATTGATCCTGTATTTCGTGTTAGTTACAAACTCGCGTCTTGGACAACCAGTTAATACAGAACTATAGATACGTACAACAGGAAAACCGAAGAAAATGCCGAAAAGAAAGGTGAGCTCAGATTTTATTTTAACAATTACGAACCAAGGCACTTTAGTTTTATTTGGCGAAAATAGCGGTACTCTTTATTCAGAAATATTATGTCAAAGCTCCTAGCAGGTGACAAGGTAAGTTTTCCAATTCTCATGCGTCGTTTTTTTCCCTCGAGAGGTGAACATTTCCCGCAGTTTTTTCCCCTTTTTTTTGCAGACATCTGATATTATTTCGTATGATTTTCTCAGTCGCGGGCACTTGCCTTTCCCTCCATTATTGATGGTGGAGCGGACAGCCTTTCTATCAGCCAATGCCTTCGCCCAGCCAGCCGCCGCCGCTCTTGCGTGCGCACTTGCGCTCTTCAAAGTCACCGAGCTGAGATGCGCACCGGCGTTCGCCGTTTGTGCTGCGTAGCCGCTCCTGCATATCCTTCCCTCCCCCGGTTATGCATCCGCGGTGCCTTTCGCTCGTACTTTCTCGACCTTTTTTTCCACTCCTGGGTCGATGGAGGATCTCCTTTTTTTTAAAGCCATATTTGAAGCGACACCCTCCCCTCTTCCTCCTCCTCCAACCCCCTCCTCCTCCTCCCCTCATGTTACAGACCCGTATGTAAGTAAGGAGCGTGTCAGTCAGCGGTACAAACCCATGGTTCAACCCGTGGACGAGGCATGTAGGGAGGGAGGGGGACTGGGATTAGGCAACTGCCACGGAGAGCGAAGCGACGAAGGCGGTCTGAGCCACGGTGCCTCTTCTGCATTACATACATGTGTATATATACATAACGTGGGGTCGATTCGACGACAAAAACGCGTCTGCTATGCACACTTTTATTAAATATGTTATACAGAAAATCATTTTCATTTTTTTCTGTCCTAGACAGGAGTGCAACGTTACGCTGAATTCTCGGGGGGGGGACAGGAGGGAGGGAGGGTAAAGGCGGGGAAGTGAGATGGGGGAAGATTGAAATGATTGTGGATACAGTGTAGCCATCTTTTACTCAAGTGCACGTCGGGTACATGCTGTTTGCATGCGACATTTTACATCTGTGTGCGTGTCCCGAAATAAAAACGCGGATAACAAAAAGTGTACCAGGCGGAAATTGGGCATGGCTACAGAAAATATTAGTTAGGGACATATTTATATACCTATCTATATGTTGGATTCTTATGCGTCTGAGAGAATCGGGCACAGCTGTGACAAAGGCTCCGGGGTGCCCAGGCCAGTCGATCGTCAGCGCCACATGCTGTGATGGCCGGACAACTTCGCTTCAGGTCACGGCGTATGAAGCACTTTGCCATAGAGTGTATAGGCTTATACGTTTTTTGTTCTTCTATTTAATTGTTAAGATGACAGAGACAAGGTGTTCCACTTTGTTACAAAAACAGGTTTGTCCAAGTTGCAAAATCGTTAAAAAATACTTTAATCTTGGGCATGTTTGTTCATATAACATGCATGCATACGTACATACAAGCGTGTTTTGTATGTTTAGAATAGGAGGAGGGAAAAGTTACCCAGAGCACCATAAAATTACACCATACCGACAAACTTGAAGGAAAAAGATAATTATTTATAGTTGCTTTAACAAGTTTTTTTTCCATCATTTGTTTTTAGGGTTTAAATAATCATCCAATGAACATTAAGTTTTTTTTTTTTTTTTTTTTTTTAGAGTTGCGCCAAATGTTAGCAAAACCTAATCATTTCATTTCTAATAAAAAATTAAGTTTAAAATATGTATTGTTCATTTTGTAGTGTTGCACAATGATAGTGTTATAAAAGGGATCTGGATAGTTTTTGCAATTGTCTGCCTTGTGCACCTTTATGTATAATCACGTGTACTGCCAGGTATATGCTGTATGTAACATTCACATTTTTATGCATTGCATTATGTAAAAAAACAATATAGCGGAGACAACAGATATGAAACTATGTATCATTCATCATTTTCAGTTAGGAAGACACTATCAGTATCGAAAGGGAAACTGGCCCATACTCTGAGGGATTCACACCCGGTGTTGCTGTACAGATTTACACCCTCTTTCCAGATGACAGGTAGCTGATAAACCATGTATTTGGTGAAGAGTTGCAATTAAGCAGGGTTACGGGACAGCACCTTTTCTTATGTTACCATAAGACCCCTCACTCTCATGTTAGTTGGTTTATTAGCAGTTCCTTAAGTGAATAATTAGCAGGAAATCATTTATCTTTAAATATAAAAACTATAAACACATTTTTGTAGTTAGGCTTTATAACTGATTTGATTACATGAAGGGTGTTCGAAACATTTTCTATAGGTCTGGAGGCACAGGAAGTTTGCTGCAATGCAGGAAATAGGTTGTGTACATGGCAGCATTGCAAGAAATGCATTGCGGAGACCCTCTGTGAAGCAGAAATAAGAGACTTCAGCAAGCAGACGTTTCTCAGGTCTCTCATGTTTGCAGTGCTGCTGCCTGACCTGTCGGTACAGGTAGATGTGCTTCACACACAAGAAGCCCCACAGCTGTGCCTCTGAGGTAAGGAGGACACCAAGCCCACGGCTTCACCACCACTTATGTCCCACAGCAAAACGAACAATATTCCAGTTTAAAATCACTTTCTTTTTTTCTACTTTTTTTTAAATCCATGCTACAGAAGCATTCGAGTATTTGTTGTGCGTAATGAAAATGCCTCATTTTCTTGCCCCAAATGAGAGTGTGTGGGCTATTTGATCTGGGAGACAATGGGGCTGCACAGTTTGTGGTGTACTTTACCTTGTGGAGGATTCTGGAGGGAAAAGAATAGCATAGACATGGCGCCCTTCTGCTGTGCCGTTCCTTAGGAATGGGAATTTTTGGCTTTTTTTTTTCCAGGACAAATGATGTTAACCTGGGGATGGGTCAAGGAGTTGAAATGCAGCTTGCATCAGTGGAGATAAATTGTGCTGTGCGTGTCCTTATCATCATTATCAACAAAAAACTTTGTCTGTGCAAAGTTGTGGTTATAGCATTAAAAGTTCACCATATAGATGAACTGACAGGAATGAGTTTTGAAATTATTGCTAAAACATCGAGGGCTGCAGGTTCAAAAGTGCATAATGTAAAAGAAACAGGAAGCAGTGAGCTGCTGCACACCATGACAGATAAACTGGAGATGGGTGCAGCCGATTGGCCGACTTTCTGCAAGCGGCCAAATCGAAAGCATTTTAGGGCTTCATGCAGCACGTCGTTAACTGTAGGTGTGGAGGGGATCCCCAGTGCAAAGGGCCTGAGTGTAGACGACTCCAGAGGTGTGTGAGTGGGCATGCGGGGGCGGGGGTGGGGGGCCCAGGAGCGGAGACCTGTGGATTAAGATGGACACCCGTTTGCAAGGAGAAGTTCTCAGTGGTTTGGCAGGTGACATCACTTTCACAATAGATGAACGGCTCCATGTTGCGCTGAAGTTATCTTTATGAACGTCAGTGGGAAAGCATGTTGAAAGTGCTGTAATGAGAATCAGAATAATCCTCATTTTTGTTGTCATCATCGAGAATAAGAACATTGGATTATTTCCAGGTAATTTATTAGTTCTTTATGACTGGTACCTTTCCCTTCATTTGTCGTTAACACTGTGACCTCCATACTGTTGCTAATACTAATATCACATATAGTAATACATGTAATATTTACAACAGATAAAACCATCTATTACGCCCCCCACCCCTTGTGGTTGCTTTTTTGGGACAGTGAAGTCTGGTTCTGTAGTGTGTTATGTCTGCACCTGACCCGGTAAGCACCAATGCATGGCTGCATTCTAGGCTACTCATTTCCTGTTCTGCTGTTTGCACCTCTTCCTGCAAGCGCTCCTGCGGCGAGTCTTCATTTTTAATTTTGCAAGCGCACTCCTTGCTCCCCCCCCCCGGGTATTTACCTGGCGGTGCCAGTCCAGCCCGGGGCACAAAAGCAGCCTTGGTAAGTGCGTAGGCTTTGTCTGACGGTGAACTGGAGATTTTGCCGCGTGAATAGAAACCCTTTGGCCTGCTCCAGGCCACTGGTTACCCTAAACTCCGCAGCAGTTGACTGTTGGCAAACCAGAAATCAATCATTCAGAAATGACGACGGCCTCTGTGGACAGTGAAGTTACGGCACCCTAACATTACCTTTGCTTTTCCATCACAGTCTCCAGAGGGTGCTGAAGGCAAAGATTCTACTAAAGTGATCAAGCAGGAGGTAAGAGATTCACATCTCTGCCACGTTACCATTTCATTTTTAACCAAATAAAAGTGTTTATTAATTGCATCGCATCCCTGTCATGAGTAGCTTTTTACTATCAATTTTGTTCAAGAGCTATTTTCGCCCGAATTTAATTTCTTAGCTGACAGTTTTAAGCCAAGAGACTCGAAATGATTTTTTCCAAATTCATACCTACGGATGCTTCTGGGAGCGCTTCAGGTTTAGTATCTTTACTCGCGGCTGCTTTCATTGAATCTTCTCGTGGTGACTGATCTGCCAGCCTTCTGGTGATAAGTCGGCATCCTTGTGCACTAGCTACCTGTTGCCCGTTCACAGTCATGCCTGTTCTCTGGGAAAAGGGCGGCTTTTTTGGCACCAACGCACGATACTTTATAGAACGTGAGGCTGTCACACAGTTCAGAAGTCAGAGTCGGTGGTGGGAGTGACATGAGGTGATGCAGAATTGACAACATTAAACATGACACTAGTAGCATTTCGGCTGTTTAATTCTGTGGTGTAACCATCCAGCTTCTGTTATGACAGTTGAAGTCTAATGTTTATTTTAGTTTTGTTTCATTTTAAATCGCATTTTATCTAATTATGTGGTATATTTCAAGTAATTCGTCAAGTAATCAAGTTCCAAACGTCTAACACTGTATGTTTTGTTCTGGATATTTAGGGAACAGAAGTGTTGAGCTGGGCTGTTATTAAGCCCCCAGTCTGATACCACGTGTCACTGCAGCATGTCACATAAGCCCCCACTTTGTCCAGCCTGGTGCATTGTGGGATATCGCTCAGCTAGGCCCAGCCCCCTCCCCCTCCAAGCCATCACCTATGCAACAATGTCATTCTGCAGTGCCATTTTCAACCTTGTGTCCATAAACACTCACCTCTGACATCCAAGTTTGGAGGGGGACAGGGAGTCTCTGTTCTGATTATCCTCGTTTGTCCTTGTGCTCCTTTGTTTTGAGTCGGGTGGTTCCTGGACCGCTGAGATGTGGTGCAGCGCAGGGATCCACCAGACACCTAGGGATAGGAATCACACGGCATGCTCGTTCTTGGCATGCCACGTGCTTTTATTGACTGTTATGCACCTGAACAACATCTGTGAGCTTCTCCGAGACTAACTGGCTGTTCTCTCCCCATCAGCCCACGAGAAGATCTCAGAGGCTGTCTGAGGTATGTCTAGAGGTCCATCAGTTTTAATGTCGCTGGTTCATATTTTGTTTATCATTTTCATGCGGGGAAAAATAAATGTTTCGTCTGCAGAAAGTCACCATCATTGTAAGTAGACTCCAAGAAAAACTGCGATAGCCTCAGTGATGATACTGCTGTGTTTTTCCAGCCATTGAATATTCGCTGGGTAGAAATATGGATTGTTTCAGAGACGAATGAAGAATTTGTTCTTTTTCCAGCAGAAACCGGCTCCACCCAAACCTGAGGCAAAGCCCAAGAAGCCAGCCGCTAAGGTATCCTTATGTTCACCCACTGGAGCCAGCTGGGTGCATCTAGGAAAACTCAGTAAATGTCTCATTCCAAGAGGCTGCTCATTTTGACACGCTTACAGCATATGCTAAGGAATTTCCTTCTAGGATGAATACAGTCTATCTTATATTATGGGACACGACACGGCTAGATATCAGACTTTAAAGAAAAGGGCCACACTTCCAGTCAGTCAGCATAGATTTGCAGCTAGTGGGTGACTCTTGGGGCCCCCCATCCAGGGTTGTTCCCTGCCTCGTGCCCATTGCTTCCGGGATAGGCTCCGACCCCCCCGCGACCCAGTAGGATGAGCGGGTTGGACAATGGATGGATGGATGGTGACTCTTGGGCGCTGATGATCCGAGTTCAGTCCCCGGTTGGACATCACCTTACGTTTCATTTGGGGGAAGATAGTGAATGTGTTTAAGCTCCAGACCCGTCCTCGTCTTTTTTCAGCCGTCCTGAATGGTCGTCTGGCAGCTGTCATTTAATGGCGAAACTGTGTAATACCAGGGGTGTGTGATGTTTTGTTTTTTTGCAGAAACCAGCAGACGACAAGGCTGCGAAGGGCAAGAAAGGAGGGAAGGGGAAGAAGGAGGTGAAGCCGGAGGACTTGCCGGCGGAGAATGGGGAGGCCAAGACCGACGAGGTACCTCCACCCAAACCCCGGCACCGCTGCTATGGCTCCGGCCCTGCATGCTCACAGCCGCCTTTGACCCGCCATCTCTTCTTCCGGCCTGTGACATCACAGATCTGCGTCTCTCGCTCCTCTGTTAGCGTGTGCGCCTCTCGGAGTGCGGGCCCCGCCTCGCTGTGGGTCAGAGGGCAGAGTGAGGCAGTGAGAGTGAAGGGTAGGCCCTAACAGAGTTCCCAGCGTGCTGTGCTTTAAGGCCGACTGTCTGCTAGGTGTGAGTGTGAGTGTGAGTGTGCTCCTGTCACCCTGCTGAGTAGTTTCCAGGTAAGTTTTGTTTAGTCATTATTATGTAGATGCATTTTGTTTGCATGTCATTGGGGGTGGGGTGGGGGGGGGTGGAGTTTGCGAGTGCTGTGGTTTCACTGGTGATAAGCTCTGGGATTACTGGGAGCAGTCTCCAGAAGGTGCTTGAGGCTTTGAAATGTCTCCACTGAAACACCAACCTGCTCTGCATGACATGAATCTAACAAACGATGACATGGTTCGTGAACCGGCCAGGCTAGAGAAAATGGACACATTTGCGCATGGTCAGTTATGACGTTTAGTTTAATTTGTTTCATCGTTCTGTGTTTTACTGCAGTGTAAAAGGCACCAAACATTCCTGTAGTATTTTTGGATGTTTATAACAGCTCACACGTTCTGTTCTCCATTGGCCAGTGCGTGTGTTTGATTAGTTTGCTAATACATTTGCTACATGACAGTGGGGGTGAATATACATACGCCTCAGGATTTAAGAAGAGACGCTGGAGATGGTCTCGTGTCTGACATGGCAGGAGGGAGTCCTTCAAACTAATGACAACCTCTGCATAGCTGGTTGTCTGTTTCAGCTGCACGGTTGCTGCAGCATACGATGCATCTTCTGTGTAACTCGCATGTGCCCAGCCCAGTCCTCACGGCGCCCAGGACAATCCGCGTTTCTGCTTTAAGCTAGAAGGGAGCAAAAACGTGGACCGTCTTGGGTTCCCTGTGGACCGGATTGGGCAACACTGCCTTAGAGTGAAAATGTGGTTTGTATAGCCCCCTAACCCCCCCATTTCTCCACTGTCTCCTGCAGGAAACTGAGGCTGCCGAACCAACCGCAGAGGGGAAGGAATGAGCAAAAAAGCATCTTACATGAACTTTTAGTTGATTTTATGCACCTCTTGTACAATGGGAAAGAAGGATATTTTTTATCGAGTTTTTTGTAAATGCTAATTTTTTTAGACCTGTGGTAGTGTGAGTAACCTGTACACTCTGTTCATCTTTTTGTTGAACACCCCCCCCCCCTCCCAGAACTAGTGAATCTGGTCACCTGGCCATACTTTCCACTCAACCCCACTCCAGAAAAATAAATAAATAAATGACTTTGAGGGGGGGGGAACACAGCAGAGCACATAGGAACTTGCCCTAGGTTAGCATGACCGGGACCCTGGGGGGGGGGTCTCTTAACACCAGCTGCTCTTCCCACCGTCAGCCTAACTGCTGCCTTCTAATATCCGAGGACGCATGACGGCACGGCATCTCCCGCCCGGGGTGTCTAAGCTCACCCAGAAGCCCACACCCATTTTGATACACCTGACTGGGATTTCCGTTGATACTCCGCTGCCGCTTTAGTTTCAGTCGGCTGTCCCACGTAGAGCTTTGGCGGGACGCCTGTTTCACTCCCTTTTTCTTATTATGACGGATATTTTAATCTCAGCAATAATGAGTGGTGCTTTTACTAGAAGGTTCTGTGCAGCGCAGGTAGTCGTGATCATTTGCCGCCTGTTTGGGATTTATTCTGTGGAGCTGTTTTAAAATAAAAAGGAAACTAGTCTTGTGTACCGAGTGAATCTTTGCCTGGATTTTTGTGTTGCGTCTTGCAGGCCTGTCAGGTCGGTGGAGCGGAATCGATTGACCCCGCTGCACAACTCCCTCGTCACCACGGGGCTCAGTGGGCGGGGAACACTGAAGCGTGATTTCACACGGATGCCGGTTTTAGGAAGACCAGCCTTTATCCACGTTAGAGTTTCTGGAGAACAGTCATGTGACTTAAAACAGCCGTCTAATATTATTCTGCAGATGTACGAGCCTGCAGGTGATTTTACACGTAGAGATGTGTCTGCCTGTACACTTCCGGTTTCTCCTATGTTGTGGACATGGATAACTAAGATTAAAATGGCTATCAGCTGTATGTGGCACACAGCATTAATTCATAGGTCATGAAATTACACTTATAATTAAATTAGAGTAATCTAGAATCATTTTGACCTGATAATTGTAACATGAAGCTGCAATGCATGAAAAGCACAGAATCTCTATCCAGATGCACTGGATGCCCCAGTGAATAAAAGGTTCAAAACAAATTTAAATTCGGTGCAGAAAAAGAATTGGAACCAACTGGGAGTCTGGGGTCCACATGCATGAGAATGTCACATTTGCTTTCTGTTGGCCACTGCAGTGTCTGTGGAGGGCACTGATTACATATGAACGGTGCTGTCTGTCCCTTCAAAAGTCCATGGTGAAATTGCCCACTGTCAATGAGTCAAGTAAACAGATACATGTGTTGTCAGTCCTACCAGCTGATATTTAGCGTCTTTCCACTTAGTTCTTTTAGGAATGTTAAACCCAGTGATTTGGTCATACTTAGAAATAGTACATACTGCAACTGTACTCATTACCATTTCTAAATAAATCCCATGTTTAGTCATTCTGGTGCATTTTCTTGGCACAATGATCTTCGGTTACATTTGCGGAGTTTGAATGTATGTGTGGTTTTACTATAAAAGCAGCTCTGGTTGGATGTGGGTTGTCGACGTAGAAACTGGTTCAACAACTGTCCCACTCCTACTCTAGGTGCATGTGCCGGACGCCGTGCTGCATAAGCGCTCTGCGCACGGCGGGTCAGACAGCCTCCTTGTGGGAGTATGACCCCCATGGCAACAGTTACTGGATGCATGATGGCCTTTGTCCGCCCGACTGGCTGAAAAACTCAGTGTGGACCAGGGATTCTTTTTTTTGCTACCCACAAAGGCCTTTCAGAGGAATTGTATGCCACTGTGCATACAGCACATGCTTTTGCTAAATACAACTGCTGATGTCAGAAAACGAACGGCCAGCATTGGGGCAGAATAAGGGCCACGCATGCTCTCTAACCTCCAACACAGATTAATAATTAACAGATTTTTAAAAATCGCAGACATTCTCGAGCGGAAACCCGCACAAACACTGGGAAATCGTGTGCGGAGTTGGGAGGCGGGTGTTGAAGTGAGATGTTAAGCTACGATGCTAAACTCTGAGCTGTAGTGTGATCTTTGATGGACATTGGGACAGTATTGTAAGCTGTTCCTATAAATACCCATGTGTACAGATAGACAAATCGTTTAAAATATGAGATATGGAATTCACTGAAATGCACATGAGCACCCCTGCTCTAGTCAGGATAAACCCCAGACACTTCTCTACTGCTTCCAGTGTGACAGGGGCATGTGTACGCCAATCTTGAAGGAAGCATGCAGGTTGAGATATGCCCTCGGACTGGCCCTCGAACTGGCCATCAGGGACTTTGCAGGCGGCTGTTGTGAGGTCGATCGTCCCCAATAAGCCCAAAGGTGAGGAGCACATCTGCCACCAAGTGATTGTGACATGTCATTACACTAAAGCCCACACTTCCTTAAATGCAGTAACATACTTTTGCTGTGATTTCTTGAAAACACAAAAATGTAGTTTAAATCCTGTTTAAAATATGTAATGTTCAATTCTGTATAATATTTATTCAAATGTGCATGTCTTTCTGTACAATCAGTAGTACAAATGCTAAATCAGTTGATAGTTTGTTAATATTTAATTTAGATCTATCTGTGTTTTCTACTGATTTTTGTAAATGTGAGGAATGAGTCCCATATAAATAAAATGCAGTTCAGGTTTATAATCAGGCACTAAGACTCTCCCCTGAATTATGGAAAAAAAACTCAGATGTGGTCTTCCCCACCTGAGCATATGTAACAAGTAAAATATTTGGAGCCTAAATTATGTGTTAATTAGGACAACTACATAATCTGTAGATCATTTTATCAAGGCACAGGTCACAACAACAGCACTGGGGATGAATCCAGCTGTCATCCTTTGAAACATGAACTATACTGACTATAGAAACTCCAGGCTTTACTTCTAGGAACAAAAGTCTGTCCCTTCAAAATGACCCAGGATGAGGTCAAAGCGATATTTTTTACCATAGGACTTGAACTAACTGCAAATGCAATGCAATGCCACTTGAACCACAGTGCCAGTTGTACTCTATTTACTAATTAGGTGACTTCTGAAGGCAATTGCTTGCACTGGATTTTGTTTAGGAGTATCAGAGTACAGGGGGCTGAATACAAATGCATGCCACATTTTTCAGATTTTTATTTGTGAAACATTTTGAAAACCCTGTATCATTTTCTTTCCACTTCAAAATTATCCACCACTTTGTGTTGGTCGATCACATAAAATCACAATAAAATACATTTAAGTTTATGTTTGTAATGTGACAAAATGCGGAAAAGCTCAAGAGGTATGAATACTTTATACTGTATATAACCTTTCCCCTTTTCTTCCATTTAAAGCAGCTTAGCCGCAAACTGTACATCCAGCAGGTCTGTGAAACATGTCTCTCCCCCCCCCCCAACACATGCAAACAGAGCTCCCAATTCTGTCACGTTCACAAACCTTTGGTGGGAAATTTTATATATACATATATTCATACATACATACTGTATATGTGTGTGTGTGTATATATATATATATATATGTATATATATATATATATATAGACACACACAGATATACATTATACATACATGCACCTGTGTATGTTTGTGTGTGTGTGTATATGCACACAATAGCAGCAGTAATTCTGAATGATGCTACCTCAAGTATCCTGCTTCACCTTATCCCCGCAAGAACCTTATCAGTGTCTGTAGTGCACAAATACAGAGCTGTTGGTCACACACTTGCCTGCGACTCACCTTATGTAGGTTAAATGTAAATGGACTTTCCAGGAGATAAGGTATTTCTGACTTTCGTCTGGAGAGTACGTCACAGAGAATGAATAAATTAGAAGTACTGAAAAACAGACACACAGTCACATGTTACACCAGCTGAATTTGATGCATTTGCTGAAATTATCAGTTTAATTTACGGACAGTTCATATGTATAGTACAGGATGTTTTTAACAGTGCTTTTTTTTCTGCTATTTTATAGTTTCATCCATCTCTGCAGTGTGATACCTACTCAGCCAATTCAGGTATACCTGAATAACTATAAACTATAAAGTTTACATTTGGTTTGGTGCTAGAAATGTATTTAACCATGTTGGGAGGTAGTATGGCACACAGTGTTACAACAAACTAGTAACAAAAAGGCAACCAAAACATTGCAGTTGTGGTGTATGACTGATAGTCCTTATAAATCTGTAAATCAGATGTTTCATTTTATATCTTAACCAGGTCTTTAATTTAAGCGTCTAATATATGTAACTATAAAATGGTTTTAGACACATACGTACGAACACACTTAAAATGCTTTAGTGTCACATATTTCAAGATCTGGTCCATAATCCAGTACAGAAAAATACAAATCAGTCCTGTATTGGGTACAAACCAAATAGCTCAACTTAAAATACACTGGGTATGCTATATTATCTTTGATGAGCGATTATGCTTAATCGATATAGGCCAAAATGGGTTTAATAAAATCCACATGAATATTAATAAAGGCAATATTGACACAGGCCAACAATGCGTCCAAGCTATCCCAAAGTCTTTTTTTTTTGTAACGATAGCATTTTTATATCGCACAGACTTCATACCCCCGGGTACTACCGATTGAGAATTCGTTGTAGCCTTTGCATTAAATTCAATCGTATTGTCCTTCTTTTGATCTTGCCATTAGACTTGGATTCCTGTAACTCACGAGGTTTAATTCATTACATTCCGCCTTTACAACCCTCCCCCCCATTTTACTGCCAGCTTACATTTCGGAAAGAAATGGAGGATTTAACAACAACAAAAAATGACCACCACTAAGCGGACCGTTTAAAATACTAATTAAAACACCCTGCGTTAATTACTCCACCGTTGATAAACATATACTTAGGCGCATTATGTTTATAGGAGACGTTTTGAAAAGAATTTGCACGATATTAAGTGATGTTTTAGCTTCCTGAAAAAACATGGCAGCTTGTTTAACGGACACTGCCTGGATAACAAACGGCAGTCGGTACACGGGAAGACCGGGTCTTGATCAGGCATCTTTATAGGCTGGAATTTTTCAGTGTCTGATTCGGAAACTGCGCGGCACCGTGTATCTGGCTCTTTTCGCCCAAACAAGCATTTCATTAGAACGCACTTCCTTTTTTTCCCCCCCCTAATGCTACCGTTCTCAGCCATACTCGACGTCCCCCGTGCGTGCGTGAAAACCCCCCCACTACGTGCTATTCCTACGCAAAGGGGCTCGTGCCCGTGGTCCACTCTCTGCTCCGCGCTGACGACCAAATTCACCTCGACCCCCTTTTTCCACACCAGAGGTGCCCCGGATCGCGACGTGCGACCGGGCCCAACGTCCGTGAATAAAACCGCCCTGTATTATTTGTGCTCAGTGACGCCCGTTTCGGCGAACCGCGTCGGCATTGCAGGGACTACATGTTGAAGCGCGGAAGGGAAAAAAACCGAGCCGGATCTACTTGCTCTCACCCTGCCTGTGTGTTGGCTGAATGGAGGAGCGACTCTTCCTGGTGAATAAACAGTGACAGCTATAGGGCAGACACTAATACCCGTTTCACAGCACGGGCAGACACCTTATCCTTTACAATAAAACAGCTCAAAAATGGCTTCTGACAGTAAACACGTCGCGCAGTTGACATCTGGTGAGTAGAAATGTCTCGTCGAAGGCTTTATATTCCTACAGTTCCCCGCGACGTCCTCCTCCAGCCTAATGTAGCTCATGAATTTTTCCCCCTCGCAGAGCTGTACTTCCTAATTGCCCGGTTTTTGGAAGCTGGACCTTGTCAAAACGCGGCTCAGGTGGGTAATCTGCTCTTAGGGGTTCATTTGCAGCGTCTCCGCGACGGATCGATGTGTAATATCATGTTTTATTCGGCTTTTCAGACCCTGATAAAAGAAGTGCAGGAGAAAGAGGTGAGCAGCGCACCCCGCTCGCGTCGCATCTCGCTGCGCTGTACTTTCTGATGTTAATTTAAGACGGATTTCTGATTTAATTTTTAAAACGCCTCACCGGGCGCATTTCTCATAAAAACAATGTTGAGATAACGTTGTAATTAAATTGTAGTTGCTGCCGAAAAGAACCGACTGGACGGGACAACAACACCCCGGGACTTACGAAAATTTGGTAAGGGATCCCTATAACCAAGAAAAAACTTTTTTAGAGAGCAAAATAAAAATTGAATTTCCCGCAATTTTTAAATCGGGGGGGATTTTTTTCAACCTTTTCGTGCAGTGGAAAGGCAGCGTAATTTTCTTTAAACATCCCGACGAGTTGAGTCCAGACTTCTGGATGTGTCTGGCGGTGTGAGTTTGGTGACAGGCTGGTGCAAAAGGTTTAAATAGTTTGTAAAAATGTAGCAGAAATAAAGATACGTCATGAGCGCCGTGTTGTAGGAGCAGCCAGGGACCGGAGGAGGGACCATTGCGCCAGAGCGCCCGAGCAGAGCAGAGCGGCAAGCGCTCATGGAGGCGCTCTTCTCTATATCATTTAGTTGTAGCTAGTGTAAAATACTCGAAAATGATGACTAACTAGTTAAAATAAAGCATTAGGATTTGACAAACGGGAATCTGGGAGGCTCAGCGGGCGAAAGTTTTAAAGGAAAACGGCTCGTTAAAAAATATTTTAAATGATCAAGCTGGAAAAATCGCAGTGGAGGTGACAGTCGAGCTAAAGACTTACATTTGCGGAGGATAACTGTGTTTTGGAGGTAATATTACAAATATTTAATCTTTAAAATACGATTGATGATAAGTGGGGAAGAATTGTTGCGTTTTAAAAAAAGAAACTTGCAATCCGTACCATAAGAAAACATCCTTTATGAAACTGTTTAAGACCATTCCGTTATTGTTTGTATGTTTTTATATTATTTTATATTCTTACATTTTTAAAGTTTATTTTGCTATTCCTACAGTTTTCCAAATCGCTTGACTCAGTTTTTCTAACATGTTTTTTGTTTAATCTGGAGCTGTGTTTTGTATGATGTTGCCTGAATGGCAGTATACCTAACTGTTGGTAGTGTCCCGATAAGGGATAATTTTTACATTTTAATAAGAATCGATCTACCAGTGTCTCCCACTGTTGTATTAGACTGACGATTAATCAAAGGCGAGTCCTGTCGCCTCTGAGGATTGTGGGCTCTCATTCAGCTGCGCCGCGCTGCAAACGCATCCCTATTGTAATTCCTAGGATTTTTGGACGTGTGATCAGTTTAATCTGGTTTTTAATTTGCTTCTTACTAAAAAAAATAACCCAGGTAGACAGAAACCGTTCTATAGTGTCAATTAAATATTTTTCAACATGATATTTGTAAAATTTAAAGAGAGGTTCGATTTTGCAAATCGCGTTTTAGCAGGATTTCTGACGTACAGATGTTTTGTTATGGTATTATTTCTATTGTATTATTATTAGTGGTAGTGTTACTAATAATTATAATCATAACACTAATTGTTATGCAATTTACATAATCTCGCTTTTTTTTGTTGTAACTGATGAATAGTGCTTGTATTATTTTATTTCTTGGATAACTCTGGTCTCAGGTGATGGAGCCGTTGAAAGTTAATGACCAGCTATTGCGGGCGGCTCCGGCGATAGGCGTTGATTCAAAGCGGCGGCTGTTATGCGTTGTGGTACAAAGCGGGGGGCGAGGACGCCTCATCAGCCATCTTACCGGGAAGCGACCACCGCTTAGCTCTACCAATAAGATGTTTTTGTAAATGCAATTAAACCGACATTAATTACCGGAGAGGCGCTGAATGTGCAGATAAGGGGTGCTGTGAAAATGGGAATAGCGGGCGTGGGGTCCGAATGCAAATGTGGCTATTATGTTCGTCTTTCGTGCGCGGCTGGTTGCATTTATTATAACTGTCTTGTTAAACCCGCATTAATAAGGGGTTTTCTGAATAATGTTTTATTCTCCCCAAAAAATTGTTTTGTTTTTTTTTTGAGCGAAGGGTTTTTCCTTAAAGGCGACAGACGTAAATGACAGTATATTTAATAACATCATTTACTTAAGTGTATTTCTAAAGGATCTAACGGCAGAGTTTGTGGCAGCGGGCTTTTGTTGAAAGTTTGCCCTCTGTTAGGATCGCAGGCGTACAGTGCTTGAACTTTTTGTGGTGTGTAGTAATCCAGATGCAGGTGTCAGTGGTTAAGAATGTGGGTCATTGCTCCCAAAGAATCTGATGATATTGAAATCTGTGATTCAGATCAGTATTTAAAATGGTCTTCAAATGGTAATATGCTGCTAAACTTACGTTTTGTGTAATAGCCTCACTAAAACGCTATGGAATAGATGACCTATTAGTTTAGATACCCTGAATAATTTAGTGAGTGTTTAGTTAATCCTCTGAATTGTACAGAGGTTTTTCTGCTGTTTGTGGTGAATAAATAAACCGACTCAAGTGCAAGTTCTGTGTCAGTGAAAAGCAAAATGGGTTTATTTGACACTTGTTTTTAGGACGTATACTTTTAAAATGAATTTCCAACAAATTGTTTTAATGTTATTCTTTAACAGTCCAATCAAATTAATCTTTAACTATACGAAGTTGGAAGAGTCCAAAATGAGCACAGTCAGTCACCCCCCAGGACCAGGTGGGGTGACACCCCGTCTGGCTGATTTTAGTGATCAATCTGGTAAGAGTCATAGGAAAATCCCTTTTCCCTGAAGGGCTTCACTGGTTATGTCGGCGTATTTAGAAAAGTGTACCGGCTAATGGTGTTAATCTGCTTTAAAATACCCCCAAGGTTTGATTAAAATGTTAACTGAAAAAGCATTTCCTCATATAAAAAATTGAGCTTCTAAGAGGTACGGGACACGTGTGCTGCCAGTGTAGTGCAGTGTAGTGCAGTGTAGTGCAGTGTAGTGCAGTGTAGTGCAGTGTAGTGCTGCACCCACCACATGACGAACCACCTCAGGGATGCGACCCTGACTGCAGCCATGCAGTGGGTGATACCTCAACACCACACTAGTCTGAAGTTTTTTCCAGTGGCTGCAGTGCCAATCCTGCCATCAACCTCCAAATTTCCCTGTAAGCTGGAGGACCTCCTTGCAGGATTGGACATAGATTAACGTCATACCCAGAGCAAAGCAATTTCAGGTTAAGGGCCTTGCTCAAGGGCCCAACGGGGTAGGATCACTCCATAACATATAGAAGAAATGTTAATCGAATCCGCATTCACAGGATTCAAACCAGCAACCTTCCGATTGCTGGCACAGATCCCTATCCTCAGAGTCAACACTCTTCTAAAAATAGAACCTTCTAAAAATAGTAAATAATAAAAAAAATTAATACAAAGGATGAGCAACAATGTCACTAATGGAGGTGTAGTTGCAAAAAGAGTTGCTAGAAAAATCTAAATGTGTAACAATTAAAAAAGGTGTATTTGACACTCCTGCCCCCCATGTGAAGTGCCATGTGAGTCTACTGCTCCTGGCCTCCCTGGTGACTCTGCAAGTGCATTTGGGGGCGTCTGTTTGCTCGGCCCCCTGTGTCAGCTGGCACTCTCACGCCTGCCCCCGGCCCTCCTCCCCCACAGGTGAAGCTGTATGGCCACATCTCTCCTGACCACCTGCTCCGGATCTGCGAGGTGGTGGGGCCGCTGCTGGAGAAGGAGGTTCCAGCCAGCGTGCCGGGGGTGCAGTCTCTGCTGGGCACTGGCCGCCAGTCGCTGCTGCGCACCAACAAAAGTGAGCGCTGTGCGTGTTTGTGTGCTGCTTGTGCACGTGGGTGACTCACTCCTCGAGATAAACATGTCTGCATTCTCAGATGCTCCAGGCACATGCTGTTTGCTTGATTGTGTGTGTGTGCATGTGTGTGTGTGTGTGTGTGTGCGCATGTGTGTGTGTGTGTGTGCGCATGGATGCGGATACCTGTGTGGCAAAGGTGTCCTTCAGGCTGCCTGTTTGTTGACCACAGGTTGCAAACATGTGGTCTGGAAGGGCTCCGCCTTGGCCGCCCTGCACTGTGGGAGGCCCCCTGAGCCGCCTGTCATCTACGGAAGGCCCCCTAACATAGGTGAGCCGCGTTCCCCACACCCCCTCCTTCATGTGAGCCCCTCCCCTTCCCCCTACACATGCTTAGTCATCGTTTAAAAAAATATAAAAAAAATTCAAGTCATAAGGTTCATTTGTATTTTTATCAACAGAACATCAGATTTATTTATTTTTTGTTCTTTAATTCATGCTTTGCTTAGTTGTTTTCGATGTTGGTGCATTAGCTCCTGTGCACTTGTAAAACCAATCAGCTGGACCTCAGTACTGATGCATTTTTTTTTTTACTTTGCAGCCTCCTTTGGTGTTATTTTTGTTTAAAATCAGCTCTCCGCTTGGTGTCAGAAGGTTGAGTTGTACAGCTTGTGCCTGTACAGCGCCATTGTGCCCGAAAGACTTTTTTGTTTACGTGTTTGCCGAGTCTGTTGTATGATGGAGTTTAGTTTCACTTCCTGATTTAAAATAACGTGAGAACCAAATATGTCCAAGGCAAATTTGAGTAACATACTGGCTATGCAAGGTGATGCTAAAATACATTATCGTTATATAGTTATTTTCATCATCTATTATTAACATCAACAACACTAATATTTATCTATATGACTTCAGTCATGAGTAATTGAACAGTCAGCTGATAGGAACGTAATCGATGGCAGTCTGACATGACTGAATTTTCAATACGTGTCCAGTGTGGTTTGGATTCCGTAATGAATGAAGACCAAATTAAAGCAGGTATTAAAGATGGGAAAGCTGTTCCTTCATGTTTGTGGGCGTGTCCGCGATGTGAAACTCCGCCCCAGGTGGGCCTGCCTGGGACTTGACATCACGTAACCTGTGGATGTGCTTGTCTACAGTGGAGACGTCCTATGGGAGGCAGCTCAACGGGAAGTACAGACTGGGCCAGCTGGTTCCCACGGCCATTTACCAGCACATGAAGATGCACAAGCGGATCCTGGGTCACCTGTCCTCTGTGTACTGTGTCACCTTTGACCGCACCGGCCGTAGGATCTTCACGGTGAGTAAGCCTGTCTTTTCTCTAACTCACTGAGCACGGTGCTGCATGTATGGCAGTGGAATTAAGTGCTAACTTTCTGACACGGCGTTTTAGCCCTTCGTTGAGTAAATCCACGTAGCTCTTTCACCCAGCAGGCAGCCTTGTAGAAAAGCACCCCTCCTTGAATTTTGAATAGCCATTTCAATGTTCGCCGAAACGGAAAAGTGCTTCGGACAAATCTGACGTGTCGCAATAACGTCTCTTGCTTTCTGTCTGTTTAGCCCCAACTTTAAAATAAATGGAAGATTGAGTCCCATTCTTTTTTTTAATACAGAAAGTGAGGCTTGGCTATAGTGGGAGTATGGCAGAGGGCAGTGAAACTAGAAATTATGTGGAATAATGTGTAGAGTTGGTTTTGCTATATGTTATGTGCGGAAATGCACGAACCACATGAGCACATGCCTCAAGGATGTCATGTGGCCAACTTCTGGAGAATTTCGGTTGGCCTTTAAATTTTTATAAAATCTCTCAAATCCGGCAGTGTGGCCACATTTAAATTGAAAGGTGTGTCAGTCTCCATTTTTACTTGCTACCAAGTTGGAGTGGGTACCACCCAGCTCCATCTATTCTGTCTCAGCGAAGTAGAAGGGAGATGTCTAAGAAAAAGACATTTTTCTCAACTGCTTCCCATCATTCGGTGAAACTGTGTGACAGCTGTCACCAAGCTTTGTCTCTTATTCTGGGATGCTCAGGTTGCATAGTTACACGGGTGGCATTATCCTTGTATTGATATGTGTGTTTGAAGATGCATTACAGAATCTGTATAATAGTCATTATAGTCAGTTTTGGTCTAAAACAAGGGGAAATAGAATAGAGGATTCCTTCTCTGCACGTATAGTGTATTAAACTCTTGATAATCTAAGAAATTGGTATTAAATGGTTCCCCCTGGATTCCTTTGAATGGCATTGTTGTATCGCACCTGGTGTATCACAGTTCGACATATCCTGTTGATGTCAGTGATGCAATATTTCATCGTTAATGTTGATTTGCACCCCTAGCACTGAACAAGCTGCTGAACAAGTAATTATGTGCCTAAAAGCAATATAATGGTTTAATAATGGATATAAAGATGCACTAAATAGCCATTAGTGCCCCCTCTGAAATAGTTCATGTGATTTTATCATTAGAATACAATAAAAATTATTAAATGTATCTTACTGTATTGTAATTCATGCATACTTATGTTGTTGTGTGTAGCATTGGGACACCCTATAAAGGAGAGCTGGGTCTCATGTTGATTGGTGCTGCCAGTCCTACAGTCCTGCACACGGTTTTGTTTTCACCCTTGTAGTACAGTATAGATGTTCTTACCCTATTTTGCTCCCTGACTTCCTTGTCTGAGTTATTGCTATTCTTTGGTTTCCTTGTTTGGTGAAACAGTTGCTATATTTTGGTCTTACGCTGTTTTTTTTTCTTTTCTTTGTGGTATTGAACCTGTCCCCATCCCACAACTCCCGAAAACAAAACCCCTGTGCCCTAAAACTTGTTTTAGTCTTCTCCAGCGAAGGGATTTCCCCTGTCTGCTTTTGAGAATGCCCCAGTAAAAGAGAAATCGATTGTGGGAACCCCACCATGAACTCGGGCTCTTATCAGTGTAGGCGACGCTCCGAACTAGATGTAAATGTGCGAAGGGGTGTTCTTCGGTCATATGGCGGTGGCCCATGTGAATGCTGAAAGTGGGCCTTAAAAATAAACCGCGGGGCATAAATAAACTCCTGGTTTTGCAGCGTTCGGGTGCCGTTCTGTGTAGATGCTCACAGACGGTAAATGTCACCGCTTGGCTACTGTGTTGGGGGCTTTCCCCGTGAAGTGTCTGCCCGGGGTGGGGTGACTTACCCTGATGGACCTGTGAGCCATCCAGCCCCAGAGACATGGTGCTGAGGGGCGCTCACGCACAATGCACTAATACCTACTGTTTGCTTTGAGCTCAAACTATAGCGTAGTCACTGTAGCTGAGGCCGCCTGAATGCGACCGTGTTGTCGTGCAATGGCAGTTTCGATGTTTCAGGCTTTGTTCGAATACCTAAATAGTTTTTATTGGCAATTGTTTTTATTCAAACAATTTTGTTGCCATTTCAGAGTGAAATCCAGATTTTTCTGGATGCCACTGAAATTAGCATGTCATACCTTCTTGGTTTGTGAAGCCGTTTCAATAGTAGTAGCTGGTTTACATCACTGCAGGATTGGTACTTATGGTAACAATGCTGTTAAATGTCCAAGTAATGTCTTTCCTGTTGTAGATAAGCTTTCTAGTGCTGTCTTGAGAAAGTATTTTGACCCGTTCCTTGACTTGTAATATTCTTTTTTTTTTTTAAACTTGCTATGTAGTCGTGTCTTTAAATACCTGCCTTCCCATCAGCTTCTGCCTTAATGAAACGGCTCTTCCACTTCATGATGATGTTCTGTTTACCATGTTCACTGCGGTCATTTCCCTGCTCGCATCTCCCCTTTACTTGATTATTGGTTGTGAGGTCAGCCTGTAGCCATGTTCTGCCAGCCCTCCCCAGAGAGAATTTAAAATGTTGTTTTTATTTATTATTATTATTATTATTATTTTTTTAAGATCTGTCTGTGGGATAGTTGCTCTTAAAATTCGGTCCTCGTTGACGGCAGCCAGCGATCCTGGCATTCCGTTTTAAGGAATGACATTTCCATTCCTGACATTTTATTAAACAATTATCTGATATCGCAGGAGTGTTGCTTCAAAGCTTCTGCAACATGGGTCACGCATCACGCAAACTCCCTGCTTCACTCTGCATAGTGCACAGTAACAATGCACTGGTGTGGTATGTGTGGGGGTGTGACTAAAACTATGTTTTCTGGAAACTACAAAGAATGGAATTAAATCTAAATGCAATAACCTGAATATAACAGAATAAGCCAGTTTCATATAGGATTGTTGGACCAATATTAATTCCATCATCGTGTGTTTTTTCATGTTGGGAGGGGATGTTGAACTGCATAGTTTATTTTAATTTGGGGGGGTGAGCTGAAAAATGTGTCATTTGAAACATTGCTGAACAAAAGCATGTTTTTGTGTGCTGCCATTTCTTTGTAGCAGTCTAGGTTTGGCAGCGTGTCTGAGCTGTATTTTGATACATTGTCTTTGGCACGGATGAGAGACCCAAGAATTCCCCAGCTAATGAGGGACATTTTCCCAGTATGGCAAGATGAGTTGTCATTAAGCAATTTATTATTTACAGTGTCTTAACTTTCAATGTCTTGAAGCATTTAAGTGTTAAATTTCATTGTCTCTAAATCACATTCAAGTATCGTAATTCTTCAGATGATTTAAAGATGCCTCTGGTTGTATTTTAGGTGTTTCTGGGAAAATGTAAAAAAACATCTTAATTTTTGGCTCAGTAATAAATATTTAGAGATCGGTAGAATTTGAATCTTTTGTCAGCAATTTTCTTTTTTTCAGTATTAAGGCGTTTTACATGGCAAAATTTTGAGTATCCAGTCACTGAAATGAGCCTTTAACTGTGTTTTTAATGGAAGGATCTCCTCCAGTGTAACAGATTTCACTGAATTTAGTGCAGCATTTAAATATTAAGGTGTGAGGCTTTACCCCACATTATAATTGTTATAGTGACCTCATAAACATCTATAATTGCATTTATAACCAGAGTTTGAGATGCCCATATCTTGAGATCACATGCAAATAAGATGAAATGCATGCTAATGCATTACTGTTTGCATAATTGTTTGCCTCTTAGGAAACGTCTCTCATTCATTCCTTTCACACTGACACACACTCAATCACTGTTTGCTGACAAATGGAAAAATAAAGCACATTTGCTATTTTCAAGCTTAAAATCATACTTGTTGTGATATGTCACCATCTTTAAATGTTATTTACTTATTTTAATGAGTTAGGGTCATTTTCCATGAGCCTACATATTTTTACATGCAAAGGCTGCAGATCTTGCTCCATTTTCTCTTTCTGAGCCTATAACATGTTTTGGATGTGATTGTGTAATTCTGCTATGTGTGTAAGACAAACTGCATATTTGTACATGATTGTTTAAGCAGCCCAGCAGCTGTGGGCCGTTCATGTGTATTTTTCACATTTTTGTGCGTCGTTAAATAGTTGTGGTTCCTTCTTGGCGTGGCAGATATTTGACAAGGCATTGCATTTGATTAGTGCATTTAGATTAAATCATTAAAAACGCTATTTTTCTGTGAGGGGGACATTGGCCCTTTCAGAAGGGTTGTTAAGTAATGGCGGTTGCTCTAATTGAGTTGTTCTGTGTCCCTTTGTTTACATTGACACCCAGTGTTATTTGTAGTGCCTATTCTAGTCCTGTTGCCTGTAATATCCTCTTGTTTGGTTCTTGAAGTGTCAAGCTCAAGTTTGATTCATTTTATTTTATTTATTTTTTTTTAATGGCCATCATCCTGATCCTGTCCGTTGTCTATTTCAGGGAAATTGCTAATGAATAAATGCCCAATAAGCTGAACTCCCAGATCATGTAACACTGTTCAGTCCTACTACTTCATGTTTTTTTTTTTTGCGCCTCACCGGCGCTAGCTAGATGTCACTGGGGCAGGGTTGCCGTGTTGGAGGGTGAGTAATTTAGAAATGGCACAGCAGTTGTCCTCTCAGCTGAAACTGAAGTGATCACACGTCCTCTGTATGTTAACGTTGTTTACATCTCCCACGTGCCGTCCATGTGGCGCAGGGTTGGGCGGGGCCAGCTGTCTTGCACGTGCCTGCAGGCACAGACCCGATTGTTAGTGGTTCTGGGCGCATTGGCCGCCCAGTAATGAAGCCACATGGTCTCTACGAAGTCGGGAAGGACCGCGGGACTGAAAGAAACCACTGATGTGGACATCGGCCCCTTTCAGGCAAATCTTTTGTTGTCCAAACAAATTGTAAGTGTAATAAATATGTTTGAACAAGATGACTGTGGAAATGGACAGTACCTCTTCGGATGATACTGAGACCAAAAAAATG